GGTTGCATGGGACGTAACCATATTCGAGCTTAAAATGAAAATTCACGGAAAGCCGTAAATATCATTGATTATCACGGCTGCTGAAAATCAATGATATCCACGGTTCTCCGTGAAATAACTATTACAAGCTTTATTAGAATTTGAGTTTTAATAATAAATAATATTTATAGAACGTAAATTAGTTTGAACAAAATTTATTATAATTTAGACTAGCAACCCAAGTTTTTTCTATTATACATTACAGATCACCGTGAACTGTTAATATTTATGACTGGTTCTAAAAAAAAAAAAAAAAAAAAAAAAAAAAAAAAGAAAAAAATGGATCCTCAAATATTATCTAATAAACAAAAAAATATTGCATCATTTTCGAATTTACCACCAGAATCAATGAATGAAATATTTAAAAATTTTCATGATGATAAACGATCATTATATTATTGTTCATTAGTAAATAGATATTGGTGTCAATTAGCAATTCCTTGGTTATGGAGTCAACCAATATTTAATTCAGAATCAAAAGATGAATCAATTTCACCTATAGAAACATTAATTTCATGTCTTGATATTAATTCAAAAATTCAATTATCAGAACTTAAAATTCCAATACCTTCACAACGTCCTTTATTTGAATATACGACATTTTTAAAAAAATTGGACCATGCAGAATTATGCGCTGAAGTTGTTATGTGGTTAAGAAATGGATTGACACGAGAACAACTTCGAATTATGAGAGTTGTACTTCCTTTATCATTAGAAGTTAAGAATATATTAAATATTATTATTAAAGAATTATATAAACATTTTATTAAAAATTCAAATTTACAAATGATTATTCTTAAAGGAACAGGTTGGGGTTTAGATATTCCAAATATTTTAACAATAAATAATTTAATATCAGGAATATCAAATCTTCGTACACTTTGTTATAGTATACAACCAATGTTACAAATACAAATTTATGAAAATATGTTGAAATTTTTAGATTCATTACCAAATTTATGTAAAGATATAGAAAATTTGGAACTTTCAATGAATACTATTGATAATAATTTAGAAAGAATTTTTTATAATATAATTATTTCACAAAATAATTTAACAAAATTTATTTTTGATTGTGAATTTGGTCCAATAAGTAAAATTATTAATTCTTTATATACTCAATCAAATTCTATAACTTTTATTGAATTTAGAAATATTGATTTTTATTGTATATCATTGGAATTTCTTTTATATTGTTCTTATTTAAAAGATTTAAGATTATATGATTGTAAAAATATTACTTTACAACAATTATTACCTATTAGAAATTCTTCTAATTTAAATTTAAAAACTTTATATTTAAAAAGTCCTGATTTGGAATCTGAAGTTATATCATTAATTATTGAATCTTCTGGAATGAAATTACAAAATTTATTTTTAATTATAAATTCTTATTTATCTAATAATATTTTTAATTTTTGTCCTGATTTAAAATTAATAGATTTGGATTTTCGTATCGAAAATATAATTACTTCAATTTTATCCTCAATTAAATTTTTACCATTAGAATATCTTGCAATTCATTGTTGTACAAATCCTTTAAAATCTTTAAAAGAAAATCTTCCTTTAACTTTAAAACAATTAGAAATTGATGTTGGAATTTTTCAAGCTGAAGATTTGGATGATTTATTAAAAGATTGTCAAGCACCTTTAAAAACTATGATAATTCGTGAAGGTTTAAGAAGAATATTAGATAATTATATTCCTATACTTATTGATTTTACTTTAAAAAAGAAAACTTTACAAACTGTTGGATTTTATTTTCTTGGAGGTTCATCATCTTTTTCTCCTTCAATTCAAGAATTAAAAAAATATGTTAAAGTTATTAAACCTTCTGAAATTTCTAATCATAATACACATACATTTTTATGGTCTACTATACAATTAAATAATAAGGTTTAGTACGGGTTTTATTAGTTATTATAGAAATTTGATGAAATATTATTATTATATGTACAATTTTTATATGTACAATTTTTTTTTTTTTTTTTCAAACATTTATATATATATATATACATACTTATTATAATAAATATTTCTTTGATATTATCGGATTAAAAATTGATGTTGTACGAGTTTGTGTAAGTTTTGGCGAATCACATGATTTTCCCGTAATTTGTTTTATGGATATTTATTGTACGGTAGTTAACGAGTTAACGTCACAAAAGTATATCGTACGGCTAATGCGGATCGCAAAAAATACTTATAATTTCAATATTGTACGCAATTAAAACAATTAACACTATATCGGTCAAACAAAATCAGTATGATCCTTATGATCCTACAGGGGTTTCATATTTTTTGTTTATTGTTATGTGAAACGTACCCTATTCCTACATTACACAATTCAAAATTATTTATAGGAATCCAGTTAATCCAGTTACTGCGACTTCACAACAATATTAAAATTGACGAATTGTGCAGGTCGGCGTAATAATAACAGTCTGATTTACGCAGCTTTGCGCAGCTTGAAGTTATATGACGTATTATTTACGTAATTACTCTTGTTTTACCTTTATTTGATCTGAAATATTATTTTTTTTTTCTCAAACGTTCTATTCGTTCTATTTTAATTTAATAATGGAATTATTGAAATCATTTAAAAAAATTATTTAAAATTATTACAATTAAAAATGATTTTACAATTAAATATTGACACCAAAATAGAAAATTGTTACTCGAAATTTATGAAGGAACATGATGATAATTTATCAGGTATAATAACAAATAGTCGAACCGGACGCAAATTTTATAAAAAACACTTTTTAATTTTAGTTTCATGCTACAATATTTTCTACTGATTCAATTACTGAATCAGACGAAACAAGTTTCTTTCTTAAAAGAGTAAATGTTATGGATTTAGAAAAGAGAAAAGAAGTATATGAATATGTGAAGAATGTAATGAATCAGGTACAGGAAAAAGATGGTGACAACCTTGTAATGCTAAAAGATTTAAGAAAATTTTAAAAATTGGACTAATGGAAATGAAAATATTGATAAATTTATACAATAATCACAACTTAATGCTTTTTTATTCTATGAAATGTCTTGAATGGATACCTTTTGAAAAATTTGAGAATGATACTTATATTACTAGAAGTGGTTTTATTCAGCTAACTGAAGGATTTATATATTCTTGGGATATTAAAGATCAAAATGGATAAGGATCGAAACCAAAGTTGCATTAAAAAGTTTAGATGATTCATCTGACATAAATACTAATTTTTTAAATGAGGTAAATAATATTATTATATATTTAATTTTATCGCATTTTATATTATACATATTAACAATATTTCTCTCTTTAATTAGATTGAATATCATATTTCAAACAATTTTCATTGTTCTAATGTTATTTCATGTCATGGAATAACTCAAGATCCAATTACTAAGGATTATATGATGGTTTACGTTATTGTGTAGACGGAAATTTGAAAAATAATTTAATGAATAATTTAGATTATTTACAAAAAATTGGGTACTTATTTTGTATTGCGGATGGTCTTTCAGCTATTCGTGACGCTAGAAAAGTTCATAAAGATCTTAATATATTAATTTTTGATAAGAATTTACCATTTATTAGGAATGTGTCAACCAGTAAATTATAATCAAGAGAAGTCAGTTAAAAAAGGAGTTTATGGTGTTTTGCCTTATACTATGGCACCAGAAGTAATACGTAGACATAAGTATACAAAAGCAGCAGACATTTACTCTTTTTGAATAATAATGAATGAAGAATAATGAATGAAACTTATGCCAGAAGAAATTCCTTATTATTATATTCCTTATTATCATATTTTAACTATTAAAATAAGTAAAGAATTTAGACCAAAAATTTTTGAAAATACACCAAAATTGATTGAAGATTTAATTGTTAAATGTTGGAAAAAATAGACCAGCTGCTAAAGAATTAATTCAAATATTAAGAAAAGGATAGACGAAATAAATATTAATAAAAAAAGATAGTGAAATTTGTTCTCAAATAAAAAAATGTGAAAAATTTGGAGAAAATAAGGGGATAATGAAAAAATATATAAAAGTTTTCAAACTCATTCACAAGCAATTTATACTAGTAGACTTTTGAATTTTAAAAATCTTCCAGTATCAGTAAATTTGACATTTAATGGTAAATTTACGTTTGAAAAATTGTATATAAAATGATTTATTTATTTTAATAGATATTTTAATAATAATTTATTTATATTATTTATTTGTAGTTTCTGAATGCTTGGATGTAAAATTAAGTGAATAAGTAATGGATATACTGTATTTACTGGACAAGAAAAGAAATATAATCGGGTTTCTTGACGCTATGGACCAACACTCAACATTTCAATTATGATAACCTTATATATTTTCGAAGGATTACAATTCAACAAATTCAATCGCAACATTCGCAATTTCCTGTATTTTCAATCGTGGACAAGATAAATATCCATTCTCATACATATCTCTGACAAAGTTACGTTGGCCTGACTATTTGTGAATGAAATAATATAAAATGAGAATTTTTCATTCAACCATGATGTGCATTTTACATTATGTGTCTAGATGAGATGAAAAATGATAAGAATAATTAATTTATTCATTAAATGAAATATCACTTCTGAGATCAAAAGTCTATTTTGCAATTGTAATCATACTGATATTATCGGTCGGAATATTTTTATGACAATTATATATACATGATTAGATTCACTAGGGTATGCCCAGTTTGACTTATTTTACGTTTGATTAGTAAATAGGATTTTTAATGACTCACAGAAAAATTACATACTTTCAATGCTCAAATTTTGGGTAAGTTTCTTAAAAGACTTATAATCAAAATATATTATAACATGCTATTGATAGGCTTACAATTAATATTCAAAGATCTATATTTAATTATAAATAAACATTAAAATATCATCAACGTACTTACACAAGTCCACATAATTGAATTCTCAAAACAGGTTTTATGATAAACTTATGTATTTATAACATATTTTGTTAGAACAGAATAAGAAAGTATTACAAATAAGAAATATTTTAAGTTTACTAAATAAATTATTATTATACATATAATACAAAAGAGTTTTCGTACCTGACTAACTTTTATTTAATAATACGGTGACGTTGTGAACTCAAGCGAGTTTTCATTATTGCTGATATTGTAACATATGAATATTATAGAATGCAATTTTTTTTAGGTAATTTTATCGCAAATGTATCGTTCTTATACGATCAGGTGCTATGTTCTTATACGACGTATATGTCACATAATATAGGTCGTATAAGATAGTATGTCGTACACGTATAAGAAAGATACATTTGCAATTTTATCACTTTATATTCTTTAATCACTTACTGACATTTACATTATAGGAATTTTAACACTTGGTATACTGAAATTATGAATTAATTTTTGATAAAATTTCACGTGGTTCAAGAAATTTGAAACCAAAAAGGAAACCTTTAGTCATGAGATCATAACATAACACAAAAATCTAAATTAAGGTTCATTCGACGGAGATTTATGGAAAGCCGTCCTTGACAAAAGGTTGATATCCAGACATCATGTTGGATAATGTCTAGACATCATGTTTGATATATGTAGGATGATGTTTGTACATCATTCAACATGATGCTCAAGCATCAACCGACATGATGTCTTAGACATCATGTTACCAAATATAGTAAATTTTATTTTGTGTAACTCATAAATATACTATATTTGGTAATTTGATCAGCATGATGTCTAGACATCATGTCGGTTGATGTCTTTCACATCATGTTGAATGATGTACAAA